CATCGCAACGATTCAGCCACTTGGACAAGTACCCAAAAATCATATACTCTCCCAAATAGTAACCTATACAACTACTTTCTGAAACCTATGTATCTTATTATTATGGGACTTTCCGAATGTAGGGGTACTTAATGTTGGGGTCCTTAGAATAGGGATCCTACTATTTAGGGTACCATAGTAGGGTCCCCCCATTTTTTGGAAACCCCCCCCCATATTGCATTAAGATGATATGAGCATCTGCAATACGACCCGAACCCAGTCGGCTTATTGAGGCCCCTACACCCGAAACCCTATTGCCCGAATGTAGTATAGGGGCCTAAAGAATTACCTATACTATTTTGGGGCTTCCTTATTATACATATAGTATAATGGGCTCCAAAACCCTATTCTAATTATTAAGGCCCCTATATTATTTCTAGTGAGCCTGGTGTCTTGAGGTCAGGTGATTACCTTCATCGCAACGATTCAGCCACTTGGACGCTGATCATGGCCCAGTAGTTCGCTAAATTAGGTTCCCTTTCTTAGGTCTCCAATATAGTATGGCACCCTTTTATAAAAAGGACCCCCCAAAGGGACCCTAATTTAGAGAACTATCCACCTACTTTGATAGGCCGGTACATTTTCGTCGCCGGGTGGTACATTTTTCCTCCCAGTATCTCTCTTTGAATATTCGGACCCTTTTCGCCCAAGCACCCTAAACCTTAAATCCTAAACTCAAAACCCTCATAAACCCTAAACCCTAAGCCCTTTTCTCCCAAGCATCTCTCTTTGAGTATTCGGACCCCTCTGGGGCAGCTTGTTAGGAGGATTCCAGACCTTCCCAAAGATCGAATCTTCCTTAAATAGGATCCCTAAGTGACTACAACCCTTACCCTCAAGACACTCATCTTTTAAGTGCTTTTGGGCCCAAAGACCCTATAATATAAGGCCTTTAGGGCTATTTTGGTGCTAAGGGTAAGGCATATTCTTTAATTGTGGAAGGTCGGGGGAGGGGATAGCAGCTCGGTTCAGCTGAAGCTCTCAGCATGGGGTGTTTGCGCCTCAGAAACTGCCGTCCTGTACCCACAGGCCCCTAAGTAGTTCTTTTTTGAGATTACCTTATAGGATTCTAAAATATAAACCATAAAAAGGAACTACTTAGGGGCCTATGGGTAGTCCTGGGGCACACCAGCAAAAACAGGGTTTATGTAGGGTTTAGGGTTCAGGCGCGAAGCAATTAGCATAAACAGTTCACTATGGATTGCTGAGAACTCACTCTTGAGTCTTGTCGTGGCCGCAATGTGCCACGCAAGGTTCTACGATTTCTACTCCCTGCTCGCTGAAACCTTTGTTCGGTCAGGAAGATCAACAAAGCCAGAAAGCCCAACGTACATTTTGCAAAATCCTAAACCTCAAAACTCTAAACCCTAAAGCTGAATTCCTAGATTCCTAACTCTATGTGAAACCTTTCAACAGAATATAGAGACCTGAGAGAAAGCAGGTTCTGCTTGGCTGAGGTAGCTAGTTTTAGGATGGCTACCCTAGACCCTAAACCCTAATCCCTAAAGCGAGGCGGAAGGGTTGAAGGACGACTTTTGTCTAGCCCAGTTCAGGGTTGTTAACTTGTGGGCGTGAGTTCGGTCTAGGGGTTTAGGGCCCTATCTCTCTAGGGTTTAGGGTTTAGGAGTTTAGGGGTTTAGAGGTTTGAAATCTAAACCCTGAATCCTATTCTTCCATGGTTTCAGGATTAGCAGGGTTTAGGATTTCAGGAGGCGTTCGAGGGGTTTAACAAGGTTGCGAGCCTAGCAGGCCTAACATAGGTGCCGTCATAGTTTAGGGTTTTAGGGTTTAGGGTTTAGGGCGAGCCATGTCAGGTGCAAGGGCAGCGATTTTCCTTGGACGGATCGGACCTGGTGTCAATCACAGGCCTCTTCCACATCGGAGCGCCTCTGGTGCAAATTTCAGATGCAACTTAGGGTGTAGAGTTCAGGGATACGGGTTTAGGATTTGGGGTGTATAGGCTATATAGAGTAATTAGGGTTCAGGAGTGGCATGATCTGGGAGTTGAAGCTATCGTTGTTCGCTGAAGGGCATGTAAAGAACCTTGAAGCCAGTGGGACCGCGAATTGGTGTGTGTGTGTGTGTGACCAGTCCTCGTCTATGACTCTATAACCCTATAAACCCTAAACCCTAAACCACCTTGGGCGTAGGGTTCTTGGCCTTGACCTACAGGGTTTAGGGTTCAGGGTTTAGGGGTCTGTAACCTTCAACAAGCAGAAACATTGGGCATTGGGGCCAGTGGTCGGCGCCTAAATTCCCTAACCTAAACTCTACAGTTCGGCGCTCAACCCTATCGTAAGCCCAAACTCTGAGCCCCTAACTCTGAACCTTAAACCCTAATCCTATCGCCGCAGTGGGCTCAGGCCTGTCCATCTCATCATTCAGCGCGATGAGCACGTCTAATTCGCGGATTGGCAGCAATGCCAATGCAGGTGGCACAGATGGTCTTCGTGCGCCTGCGCAGCTGGAGTCTTCAATGGGAGGTCAGGCACCAGCACCAGATGGTACTCAGGACGGAGGTCTTCCTCCGCCGCACAAGTTCTACGAGAATCTCACCAATATCGAAGTTGTCAAGAGACATTGCAAGGAATTGCTTGACCTGAGCTTTGCCAGCATCTCACCCAATGAGCGCTACGAGAGCGAATCAGTTAGGTCCGTGATCAAGTCGAAGATCACCTCAGTTGAGAAGAACTTGCGTCAGATGCCTCAGGGGGACAAGGTGGGATAATTCAAAACCGAGACAAAGTACACAAGCAGTTTGCCCCCGAGGTGGAAGGAGGCGCGTACGATGCGATCTCGATGTTGCTAGCACTCTTCGACCTTCCTGACACAGACGGACGTCCTTGCCAGACTCCTCCCTATACTTCTGCACGCCCCTCTTTGGTCGCCAAGCATGCAGCCCCTCCGATGGCGCACCTTCATGGGATGAAGAGGATGAAAGTCGATGGACCTAGCCATGCTGCGCAGAGTGGACTATCAACTGGTGGGAATGGGCCCCATGCTGACCATACCCAGGCTGCACAAAGGCCTAGCACCACAGTCGTCCATGCGTTTGGACTGGGTCTTGCTATGCCATCGGCGCTAAACGGCTTATTTGGAGGCTACCAAAGCTCACATGACATGGGTGTGGCCTCACCACTGACTGACTCCACGGATCTATGCAGGGCCGGGCACCTACCGATGGATGGTGACAGTGTACCTTCCAATGGCCTCCGCCATGAATGACGAGAACCTTGAGGAGTTAGGAGGACCTGGATACCTTAACCCTAAGGTATCAGCTGAGATTGGAGTATGAGGCTCGTGAAGCTGAAGCAATTGCAGGAGATCTTGCAGAACATGCTCGGAGTCGGGAGGTCATGGATATTCTACTGGTACACAGGGCGGAGCAGGTGATGGGTCCTGCAGTCCATTCAACGACCTCCATCGGTGGACACGGAGTGATGACAAGCTGGCAGCTACGTCGGTGAGGTGATGTGCGGTTTGGTTTGATTCGAGCATGGGCGTCTATTACCACTTTCAAAACGGGTCGACCCAGTCAGCAGCGACTTCTGTGCAGGAAAAAGCTCCGGTTAGAAGGGTCTGGTTGGAAAAAAGACGTACGCCTTAAACCTTGAACTGCCTTGAACCTTAAGCGCTGAACGTTGAATCCGAGAAGCCTGAAGCCGAGGACTCTGACCCAAGACTCAAGCAGTAACTCCTTCACTCGAAGTCCCCCCGCCTCGAGTCTAGGGCTTGGGGTGTAGGGTTTAGGGATCAGGGTGTAAGGTTGAGGGTTCAGTGTTTAGGTCTGAGGTTTCACAGCTTGGCTTTCTTATGTAGGATTTCGGTTTCAGTGTAAGCGTTCTGGTCTTCCACGTTTGTCTAGATGTTTTCGGGTTTAGGGTTAGGGTGGGGTCGTAGTGTATGCTGGCGCTATTTATTCTGAACGATTAAAAATATATTATCAAGATTGAGCCCTTACCCTCAACCCGATAGTTTAGAATGAACCCGGTCAAACCCATAGACCAGAAACTCCAAAGCAGACTTGCTACGCACTTTGTGTACAGCGGTAGGCCTCCTCTGCATTGCAGACCAAAGAAGCCTGCGCCGCAAACCGAATAACTTGGTGAATCCCAAGAAAGTGCAAGTTGCCGAGCCAAATCAAGGCAGGCGACAGCCAACATCAGCAGACAGCTCCCATAAGAACCCCAAATAGAATAAAACTCTAGCTCCTGCCCTCCCCCTATGCCAAAATTCAAAGCCCAAGAAGCACTCTAACCTTTGAAGTCGAGGTCTGCCGGCTCGTCGGGATACGTTCCCGTGGGCACGAGGCCTGTGACGGCGGTTGAGGGTGCCATTTTTAAGAATTATTATATTTGTGATCAACAAATTCAAAAGCGAATGCACTAATCACCAATGAAAGCAAATGAAACACTATGACCCCAAGCCTTAAACCCTAAACCTATGGATACGTGAAGAAAAGAGCCCTCAGCGATGGGGTTCCCCGCCCCCACAACTATATAAACAAAAACCAGGATGCAAAAGTTCATGGGTCTCCCAGTGGTTTCCTTCCTATTCCCGAAGAGTAGGAAGCAGGGTGCCCGTATAGGGGGAGCCTCGGTTTATAAACCTGAACCCTACAGCAAAAGAACCCTTCTGACCCTCCAATCCCTCCGCCTCTTTGGTGGCAGGAAAGGGGCCGGCAAGAGGCACCTCGGTCGGCGGGTTTAAGGTTTAGGTTTCAGGGTTTAGGGTTTAGGGTGGTTTAGTGGGTGGGGTGCAAGGTGACAGGATGCTATAGTCTTGGGTTTTTGAGATTAGGGTTTAGGGTATATCGGGTTCAAAGGTTATGTAGCGTTCATCTACAAAGCTAGGATCTCGTAAGAATCCAACAATCTATCGGCTTAAGGGTTAGTCGGCTAGACTCGATCAATATGGGGTCATAATCTGCTCTTTGCTCGGGTTTGGGGCTACAGGGACATTGTGGTGCCGGGTTACGTACCTGTTTGGTAAGATGGGGTTTTGGGGTTTCGAGATGAAAGGGTCTGCTGATGGCATCTCTTTGACATCTTCACAGACCGTGTGCAACCCCGTTGAACACCGTGCAAGAGCAAACATCGACTTGCGATCCTGGCCAAACCCCTAATTCCGCCAAGCCCAACAACCCAGACCTCAGTAATGCACCTTAAACATTCTGCAATCCTGTTGACTAGACCTCCTTCCATCAACAAGGGTTGTAATTTGGATCTTAATGTCAAAGCCCTTAAAGATAGGATTATGCGTCAGAGGTCTCGAGTATTCAGGATACTCTTGTTGAGTATTAGCCATCCATTAACCATTAATCCTTATTCAGGCCCGCATATTTATCATTAGCCTGTACCAAATCCTGCAAACACCCCATGGAACAAGTATAGAGTACAGCACTGAAACCGGTTGGTTCTTGGATGCAGAGGGGCCCCGTAGACCGTAGGTTGCGACTACACACTGTAAGACCCATATTCCCCCCAAAAAACCCAAAACCCTAAAGCCGCGAAGCCCTATCCAACACCAAAAGAGATTCCAAAACAACACCTAACCCTCAAGCCTAAGCCTTATACTGCAGCCCTAAGGCCCTAAACCTTAAACCCCCCATTAAGCCTATAAGCCTGATAGGCCATATAAGCCCAACACTAAACCCTAAACCCGAAACCCACTACAGCAAAGGAGATATCTTTGGATCTGTGAGCCCCGGGACATGGTCGCCCGGTCGCGAGTTAGAGGTCTTTTGGGGCTTCGGGGCTCGAACCTTGGGTTCCTTCAAAGGGTTCCTTACAAGGGATTCCTTAAAGGGAAGGATTCAGACTATAGGATTTTGGGTTTTGGGTTTAGGGGGGATTCCTTAAAGGGAAGGATTTAGACTATAGGATTTTGGGTTTTGGGTTTAGGGTGAAAGCCCCCAAAAAGTTGAAACCCGGAGTAAGAACAACTAGTGCTGGGAGTCCCTGTGCAAAGGGGATCTCTGGGTTCGTCCAAAGGGGGATCTATAAGGACTTAAAAAAAGGGTTTAGGGTTTAGGGTTTAGGGGTTTCGGGTTTAGGGTTTATGTTCCTTAGAGGGGGTCCTCAAAGGGATCCATAAGGGCTCAGGCTTCAGGATTTAGGGTTTTGGTTGGTTTCAGAGTCTAGGGTTTAGGCCCTAAACCCTAAACCCTAAACCGTTAGGGTTCAGGCTTGGAGTCTAGGACTTATTTTCGGGAGGGCTCCGGGTCTTTTTCATTGGGCTTCAATAGTGCTTTCTGAAGGGCTGCGTGGGGCTTCTGAACATTGCTTGGAGGTTCATGGGTAGTTATAAGTGGGGTTATATGTAGGGTAACTATATAGTATAACCCAGATTAGGGGACTTCTAACCCCACTTGTAACTACCCCTAAACCCTAAACCCTAAAATCCCAAAAGAACCCTTTAAAGGAACCCTTAAAGGAACCCCATAACCCCACTTGTAACTACCCATGAACCTCCAAGTATATAGGGGTCTTTCCTTTGTTGAAATAGCACGTGTGTTTAATCACTTGTTGCATGTATGACTGCCGACCATAGTGCTCTAGTAGACAAAAGGGCGTGCGCACTCCCATGATTACAAGTTCTACTATCACTTGAACGG